CCTGTGTGCCTGTGTGCCTGTGTGCCTGTGTGCCTGTGTGCCTGTGTCCCTGTGTCCCTGTGTCTTTAGCCTTGTGTGCGGAGCTGCTGCTTGGCTGTATATTGTTTTATCAGTATTGTGTCCTGCTCTTCAGCAGTGCTTTGGAATTAGACTGAATTAGCTGCCATCACTGTATGTGGGTACTGTTCGTAACGTTAAGTGGCTAACTGCAAAGATTATATATTGGGTGGGTGACACTCGGGCTTTCTGATGTATTTCTTTTTAGGATGAGTCAGTTAGGTTTGTTTATGAGGATCCTAAGAATCTGAACAAGCTCCTGACCAGCATAGGATGGCAGTCTTGATGGCACTATGCATGCAGATACACAGAATCACAGAGTCATGAAGGTTGGAAAAGACCACTAAGATCATCCAGTCCAACCATCAGCCTGTCTCCACCATGCCCACTGACTACATCCCTCCCTGCCACATCCACATGGTTCTTGAACACCTCCACGGACGATGACTCCACACTTCCCTGGGCAGCCCATTCCAGTGCCTCACAGCTCTTTCTGAGAAGTTTTTCCTCATATCCAACCTGAACCTCCCCTGGCACAATTTGAGGCCATTCTCTGTTACCTGGGAGAAAAGGCTGATCCCCACCTCTTCACAACCTCCTTTCAGGCAGTTGTAGAGAGCAATGAGGTCTCCCCTGAATCTCCTCCAGACCAAACAATCCCAGTTCCCTCAGCTGCTCCTCATCGGACTTGTGATCACAACCTTTTGCAGCTTCATTATTCTTCTCTGGACACAGTCCATGGCTTCACTGCCTTTCTTGTACTGAGGGGCCAAAAACTGAACACAGCACTTGAGGTGTGGCCTCACCAGTGTTGAGTATGCCAAATACCTGTGAGTTCCAGGTGTTGGTTCTCCAAATCACCTGTTTCTGCAGCAGTGAGACTGTTGAACTGGGACTAAGCGATTCAGCCACTATTGCAGTTCTGACTGCTATTGACAGTCTAGCATTTGTTTGAGAAACACTTTTCATCTCTTCCCCTCCCTTTGCAAGTGCACTGACATAGGTCTTGCTCTAGGAAAAGATCCAGCTAAATGTTGTGCGTTTGCCTGCTCTAGAGAAAGGGTTCTGTATTTTCTTGGCCTTTGGAGAGGCTTAAGAGCTCTGTAGGAGTACAAGTATTTATTACAGGCTTGCTTAGAAGTTAAAACGCATAGGGTATAAATGCAGATGCCAAAGCAAAGAGGCAGTGCAGCAGCTGTGCGATCACATAGGTGAAGAATATGGAAAACTGCAAAACTGCACCGGGCTTTTTCTTTCCTCTAATTTTTATGTTTAGTTCTGTATGATGTTGAAGAGGAACTTCTCAGCTAATTTGTGTCGAAGAGGAGATGCTTTCTAATTGCAGAGGGCATCAGTGAGCTGTGTGCTCACTGCCAAGGATAAATGGTGATTCTGGGCTGCACAAGGTCCTGAGCTCTCAGGATCTGCAGAGCAGAGGTCCTCAACTATCTGGAGCAGACTAAAGTGGCCAGGCCTTGAGTCTTATACAACAAACATTACTGAAGGGCACTGTAATTCATGTATGCATATGTGTGCATCTGTTGACATACACATAAATATATATATATTTTTCCAGTGTTCTCTATTGCTGTCTGGTTCCTGTCCCCATATAACAAATGAAAACATGGGAAGTGAAAAAAAAAAAAGATTGTCTTAGGGTGACCAACTTGTGTTAAGAGTATTATGAAAAAGTGATTGCATTAGCAACAGGAATAGAATAGAACAAAGCAGCTCAGAATGTCACAAATGCTTATTTTTGATGATGCTTCTTCAGAACATATGCTTTTTACAGACAAGCCATAAATAGAGATGCTTGTATTGTGGTTGGGCAATTGCAAAGGGAGTTGTAGTGTACTGCTTTTAGAGTTACTGTTTTATCTTTTTTAGAGGTGTTTTTTTTGTTTGTTTGTTTGTTTTTCCTACTGTGGCTCTGTACTGTAGGACTTTCCTAGCAGGTAGTGTTAACAATTTCGTGTGATCCACAGCAGGACCTTCTTAACTCTCTTCAATAAGTGCAGTATGTAACTGCTGACCATGTCTGGCCTGCCAAAGCTATGCTCAGTGTACTTACCCTGAATTGTGGGACATGGACAGACTTGATAAAAAACAGTCAGGAGCAAAACTATTCATACCGTATTATTTTTGAGTTGTTGCCTGTCACTCCCTTGAGATCTTTTTCCAGAGCTTGGGGCTCATTTCATGAGCTGGAGATCTCTGTTCTGTTGGTATCTGGAACGCCTGGTCAAGACATTCATTTGCTATTTTGACACCCCCCTTTACTCTTCACTTTCCTTGATAGGTCTTTTTGCTTCACAGGGATGATTTTCCCTATTTTCAGAACGTAAGACTTACGATTTGTCACGTGTTTGTGCTCTGGAAGGAAGAAAACTGCTTTGAAGGAAGGACAGTACAGCAAGTTACAGGATGGAACAGGACAAGTTTGTGTGGGTTTTATATCAAACTCTTTCCATTTGCTGGGAAGAATCTTGGCTGAAAGAATTCCAGTGAGGATGTTCTTTGAAGGGTGATGCTGGAAAGTGAAGATGTTCGTGTATGATGCCACTATCTTTGACTGATGTTAATTGATTTTATGACTATTAGCTCTACTAGGATACTTGTGTTGGAGGGATCATTCTGGTAACATTTCACAGTGGAAATTTCGTACTGAAACAAAGAGGCAGAAAACAAGGAAGGTGATAGTGATGTGTTTCTGTTCTGTTCTGCACTGCAGGGTCTGTTTGATGTTCCAGAACTGAGTTGTCCAGAAGGATTTCAAGAAGCACAGGACAAAGCATTGCAAGAATCAGAACAGCTAGTTCAGAGGGCATGTTCAACACCACCTGGGCCTGAGATTGTAATGATCTTTGATCAGCTTTCAGATGCTTTGTGCAGAGTAGCAGATTTGGTAAGTTAGTTTTCATTACTATTTTAAGCACTTCCTTTTAAACTGACTGACTTCACACCTTACACTGTTCTGTTTCATTTCACATTTTTAGTATTGCAGTAAATAGCAGATCAGCTCTGTGAAGTTTTGTATTAAGACTGAAAAGTAAATTGAGTGAAAGTTCATTACAAAGGCTTTAACAGAATATAGTTAGCTGCAAATCCTGTCAAACTGTCCAGCTAATTTTAGGACAGATGTAGGAGCAGTGAAGAAGCCATGACAAGAAAAATAGAGCTGAAATCAGAGTAGTATTTTACTATTTCTGCTGGTAATATCAGTACATAAACTTTCCAGCATCAGTTATGTTATAGAAGATGGGGTACTGTGTAACTTGTTGGTTGGAAATACTGTTGCCTTTTATTACCACAATGCAACTGTTTTCTTAGACTGCAGTTTCTGATGTCTGCAGAATTACAGTACTAGGTTTTTTATCACAAAATGTTGAGTTTTGCCATGTACTCTTTGTTGCTCACTAGAAATTGTACAAAATGTATCTTTTAGAAGAAGGTTGCTCTTTATCTGTAGAAAGCATTCCCAGCTGAAATCAGTTGCTAATAAGTAATATCTCATTGAATTTTTTGCCTTTGGTTTTCATATTTGAATTTCTCGTGGTTTCAGTTTTCAAATCTTTTTCCTTGTTCTTTTCAAGACCTCTTTTGTGACAGGGGTTGAAACTAGATGATTATTATTAACCCAGGCCATTCCATGGTTCTGTGATTCCTGAAAGTACTTGCACACTCATTCTCTTTTCTCTACTGTTTTATAATATGAACTGTTTCCTCTTAATCAGTCAATACGTAACTGAAGCCCTTAGTGTTAGAATTTAGGAGTCATAGTTTTTTTTTACTTTGCTGAGTTAAAGGTATCTTGGTTCCTCCTGTGAGCTGCTTTCAGGTGTGTATGTTCAAAGATGGCCTATCCTCCTTGCAGAGTTTTATCTAGAAGCAATTTGGACTGGCACTCTAAGGGGTCAACTGTACCAAGACAGTTTAAAGAAGTACGTAGATTAAAGATCTTTTTGGAAAGACTCACTCACTGTCTGCTTTAAAACTTGTTAGCACAGTTCTTCAGTAAGATTTATTTTTGAGGGAAAAAAGTGCAAATTACTCAAATAGGTTATACAGAGCCGTATCAATAAGCATTAAGTAGAACTATTCAAGTGCAACTTGGTTTATAATTAATTTTTTTTAATATGATTTCATGACTCATTATTTTCTTCTTTTACTGTGTCAGGCTGATTTTGTGAAAATTGCCCATCCT